ACTGACTAGAGAAGACGGAAGAGTCTTTCGAGCGAATCGAAAAGAAGCTTCAAAGGGAAGTCGATATAGTTTTCCGCTAGGAATCGGAAAATAAATTACGGGGTTAGGTGGAATAAATTCCCCGGGAAACATGGGAGATGCAAGGGAAGATTAAATAAACTTCAGGGAGTTATAAAGTTAACATTTTGATGGACCTGACAGCTCAGTGAGGGCAGGCAATAATCATTTTGATAATTAAAAAAAGTAAGAGGTTGTATCCAAGACACGACCGTAGATTTGACATAGGATTACGAAAGGTAGTTTGATGTCACAGCAAAAGTATAGTATACACAGTTCGAAAAAGTAGTGTAAATATCTGTTCAGTATGATGCACATAAATGGAGCGTCACATATCATATAAGTTTACATTTTATATCATGTAAAGCTCTGAGACATTTCATGCAATGTAGCAAATATTGTATACAAAAGCCCATTGTTGTAAACAACATTTTTTACAAGTTGCTAGGTTCCGTGAAATGAAATACAAGTTTAAGTGAATGAATGTTTACATCACTATTATTATTCAGAATTTTTATCTGTGTATATTAAATTAATTTCTCAACTCGTTATCAGTGATAAAGTTCGATAGGTTGAAATTCGGAACCAATTTGAGAGTTCTGTTTGTGAGGTGCTCTGTCGATGTCCATGTAGTACAAGGTACAAGCCAATCCTGGACAATATGTCTTGGATACAAGCTCTTACTCTTTAGTTAGCTCTTTTATCAGTCATTTGTGGTCCTAAAAACGAACGATGGGTTGGAAGCTTTGAAGCCAGTCTAGAGCAATGCTGTGGAAATTTGTCCTCGATGTTCTTGGAGATGATAGCGGTGCGGAAATGAAATATGTATGAGGAAAAAAACATCAATCACATAATCTGAGCCTACCGGATGGTACCTACGTTTATGCTTTTTGATGCAAATTTTAAGCGTCTTCTATTCAAAATTCGGCAAGATTTTTTTTAGGCTTAATTCTCTTAATAGGAGGGGCTTAAAATTTACAACAAAAGGCATAAAGATAGGTACAGTATGGTATCCTCAGTGCTTGGTAATAATATTCGGCGACTGTGTTAGGGAAACCACTTTTCCTATCAAGGAAACTCCTCGTTTTCTGATGACAAAATTACGCATCATCGTGCACAGAACTTTTAATTTATTCAATAGATAATAAAAAATTACCTTTGCATTTCGGGATTCGAACCGGCAGGCATCAATCATACCTACTGGACTACTCAAGCATATGTGTGGCAAAAGGTATGACCATTAACTTAAAACACGTCAAATTTAAGTTGAATTACAGCAACCGGAAGAGTATTATACAGCAATGCAGAATTGTAAACAACAATTAGCGACAGTATAATATTCCTCTCATTTTCAAGTGTAGTGAACACAATGTGGACACAAGTGCCCGATTTACTTCGATGTTCATGTGGAAGCTATTTAAGTGCCATAATTGAGTTATATATTTGGAATGCTGTTTGAAAATTCAGTGCAATATAGCAAGAAATACAAATGTTAATACTTCCTACGTCGTCGCAGCTCACTTCTACCAGCAGCTATTCCTAAAAAGCTCATCTACCTTGTATCTACTTCAGCCACTGCTTGGGATTAGAAAGGTAGGCAGTGAATTTAGAAGAGCTAAAATGCCGGAAATGCAACGAGCTATCAAAATATTTGTAGTGCATTGCTGATTTGTGGAGTAGTGTTAAGCTAAATTAAGGCTTGTTCAATCTTTAGATCAGCTAATTTATTGAGGTTGAATTATGAGGATACAATTAGCTTCATACACTACCAATCAACTATATATTCAGCTTGCTGTTAATCAGCTTTGTACACCTTAAATCAACCAATAATCAGCTTTTGTTCTTACTGTTCAGCTTGAATTGTTACTTGGGGAGCAACTGAACCTGATCAACGGTTGAGGGCAGCCTTGATAGCTAGCTGCTTGCGGGGAGCTTTTCGTTGGTACTGGAGAACACCACCACTCATCACACGCGGTGATTGAATAAACAGCGTTCGTTGAGACCGGATGGAATACGATTTTGAAATCTGTGTTAGGGAAAGCGCTTTTCGCAGGCAATCGGTGACCATTTTATGACCATTGCAACACTTGCCCATTCGTGCATTTTGCAATAGTGACATTTTGAAAAAGGTTAAATCCTTAATTTAAACAGATTCGTAGAATAATTTCGTATCGATTTGCGTATTCAGAATTAAACTCCATGATCCCTGGATCAAAATCAGACTTTCATGCCACGATCGACTTTGGATTCTGAAATTGCATTGCCAATGTTGGCATAAAAATATATGGTATGTTAGATTTTAACATATGGGAACTGACATCCGACTGATGACCTTGACAAATGTAAAAAAAATACTCATTATCAAATTTATGGTGGTCCTGAAAAGGGGACCGTTTTGTCGTCATGGTTGAGTAATGCTGAGCAATTAAGGTATTCAATACGGATGAGGCTGGCGAGCTGTATATTGTTTGGAATGAGGGTGACGCCCTTGGCATAGATGGCCACAGCGACTCACGAAGATGGATCCCGATTAGTAGCGGTGAGGCTTCTTCGGTGAATGGACGCTCATGTAGGCAGCAGCTCGCTGCTTGCGGGCAGCCTTTCGTTGTGAACAATGTCCAACACTACGCGCCGAAAGCACTGATGCTGCTGCTGCTGCTGCAGACGACCAACCGGACACAACCACATACAGTGATTGAATAAGTACCAGTCAGGGAGACAGAATCGAATACGATTTTGAAATCTGTGTTTGGGAATGCGCTGTTTGCAGGCAATCGGTGATAATTTTTAACACTATTGCAGCAATTGGACATTTGTGTAATTTTAAGTAGTAACCTATTGAAAATTAATAAAGAGTTTAATTTAGCAGATTTGTGGCTAAATTTCTAATCGATTGGCTTGCTTAGAATTAAAATCCATTCGCTATTGACAGAGTTATATGGGGTCAAAACCTGGCCACTTTTCGTAATGCGGTCAATTTTGGTTTTTTGAAATTGCACCCCCAATATGTTGCCGAAAGACGTAATCCTACGTCAAAAATGTTAAATCGGTTTAACATCTCAAAAATAGGTATTCTGTGTATCGGTATCAAAGCCGAAAATCGGTATAAATGCATATAAGTCGGTATAAATACCGATAAATCGGTAAATCTGGCAACGCTGTATGGAAGGTTAGAGGATGTCATTCATAAGCTTCTGAATTGGATGCGCGTAATTTCCTCACGTAGAGTGTTGGAAGTATAAATGGTGAACCTGCTAGGAGTAAAAGGCCCTTGTTAGCCATTGTACAGTGGCCCAGGATGGGAATTTAGCAGGAAAGATGCATTTAAAGCCTGAAGTTGAAACTTCAGAGAAAAAGTTTCTTGTACAAAGCTGTTCCTTACAGTTAAGTCCTCATTTTCGTGTTAATTATTACTAGGGTGGTTCTTATTTTAATTGAAATAAAAAAGTAACGTTTTTATTTGCAAAAATAAACATAAACATTCTTCGGAAATGTTGTTGCTCAGCTAATTTCAAGCAACTTTGTTGAATAACACTATTTATTTTTCTTGAATTGACTGATTTTTAGCTTTTGAGTCATTTGAGGAAAAATACTCTAAATCGGTCAGTTCAAGAGACAAATAAAAGTTTTATCTAACAAAGATACTTGAAATTTGCTGAGCTACAACTTTGCTCAGGGATGTACACCTTTATTTCTGCAAATGAAAATGTTAAATATTTTATTTCAATGATAATAAGAACCACCATAGTATTAATTGACACCAAAATGAGGGCTTAGCAGTAAGAAACAACTTTTCAGAAGCTACGTTTTTTCCAAATTTTTCAATTTTTGGACCACTGTGCATTGTGTCTGTACTGGTAGAGCAGCTTAAACTACCTGGTCAAATCGTGGAAAAAGAGGAACTCTGCGAGGTACCTCCGCTTCTGAGGGAACTACCTCTACACGGTTAAGACGACTTGCTGAAGGAGGAACTCAAAGTCATCAACGAAAACTGCACTGTTACTTTCATGAATTAGAGTAGGTACAGTAGGTTGGTACTTTAAGCTACATTAGCCAATATATGGCTTATGTACTGAAAACCAAATTCTGATAAATCAATGAAATCACGATACAATCGTGTATAAAGCTATAAATGGTAGAAGTGTCATAGAGTGTCATGCCGTTGAGATTTAAATTTAAAAAAAAATTGCCCTGAAAATGTGGATATTTAACAATTTTTCATTGATATGGCATACCTAGACTTTACGATTTTTCAATACCCACCACTCATAATTTAGTTTTTTAAAAACCTTCTACCACAGAATCATGGATACCTACCACGTGATACTGTTTTTGACGATTTTACATAGGTGGCGTATTTTCCGTTTCTTCATTAATGGGCAGGATATTTATTTCGAGTGTTAGTTATAACAACTCACAATCGAAATAAAAATCCAGTTTTGAGGCAGCGGTTAAGCTGCTATCTGAGAGGTGTTCGTTTACGCTCCAAAATTAAAATTCATCCCCAAATCAAGTTTGCTAAAATGTTATAATAAATGTTATAAGCGAATCCCTAACAAGGTTGAAACTCCGATTTTCCATCGTCGTTGAAATCCCTTTTCAACAAAAAAAAAACCTGCACTTCACTTTGCCCTGATGACGATTCAGCAGTCGCATGTGTCCGATACATTCACGCTTCTTCGGCGCACGCTTAGCCTTAACCCATTTCACTCACTCCTTCTCTGACCGGGTCTGTCAATGGCCGGCGGCGGCGGTGGCATGGTCGCTCTGTTGATTCACAGTACAAAACGACACACACAAAGTTACCCTCTGTCTACCTCTTTCTGGTGCTGAACCGGTTGTCACGAGATGGAAGATCAAACAGAGATCGGCCCCGTGGGCCTGAAGATCATTCCGCAGCAGCATCACTCGTAGCATCTCTTGATGGCACTTGACGTCTACCATCGCGCAAGGGTGGTTGTGTTTCCGTTCACGAGAAGATCGGGTGTTGAGCGGCCGTGTGGATAGTAGCGACGGGCAGTAGGAATTCATTTTCCTTTCTGTGTTTCGGTTTTCTGAGTGAAGTGAATTAATTAGAGGTACGTGTAAGATCAAAAGTCACACCTCCACTTTTTTTTGGCAGTCGTTTGATACGAGAGTAGTGCTACGGGTGATCAAGTGCCGTGTTGAACCTTTTTGGGGATCCAGAGGGCGTTTACCGTATCCAACGAACCGCGGAGAAAAGTGATTTGTGTTGTGTTGATTATTTATGAAACATTTGACAAACCTATACTAATTAATTAGTGTATGTTCATAGTGTTATTATCAGGATTATTATTAAAATTGTCCATATTTGTGTAAGAGATTTTAACAAGAAGCAATTTGTTTGATGTTCGAAAAGTGACATATGTCACTTGTGAGTGTGGGCAAACTGGCCAGTTAGTGTTTGTTAATTAATTTATAACATCAAAAATTAAGACGATGGTGCGGATTCTAGCATGCGTTCGATGAAGTGCGAGTGTCATGATCGATTCTTAACAACTCCGACAAGTCAGTTGGTTAGGACCCAAGATTAACACACATGACACATCTACCAAACCTTAACCGGAAGTGACACAAAAAGTGTGAACGTGAAATTTTCTGCTCTGCTCCCTGTCGTCGTCGGAAGTTGTGAACCTACCAGAGTAGGACAGTTCACACCCAAAGGAGAGAAAAAAGGGGCGCGTTTGGAGTGTGTGCGCCAAACGGTTCTTAAAGAGGAGTTAATTCTCATAATTGTGATAAATAATCTGCTCCTGTACAAAAGATTTATTAACAACTTGGAACGGATTGAGCCGCGTCCCTGCTGCCCGCTGGTCGACGCTGCCTCTCTATCAGGAGTCGTTAGGAGGAAAGTGTGAGCTGTGACACCTAGGTCGATTCACCCGGGCCAGCTAACTAGTCGCAGTGAGTACCCATTATATTTGCGTTTTCGCAGATAGTTAATTTATTGGATTTTAAAATCATCACGAAAACACTAACGAACGTACGACCGGGTGGTTGGCACTTTCATTATGAATTGATGATGTCTTCATCGGAGGAAGGATGGTAATTAGGCGTGGGAAAATTTGCCTTTTGTGTGTGTATTGCAGCAGGTTTAGATTGGCATGCTGAGATTTAGGAATTGAGTTGGGGAGTGTGAAGTGTGCTCTTAAGCAGTTATTTCAGCTTTGTACTTTTTCTTCAGTTGTGTTAATATCTGCCCCTATCATATGAACTGAACAATTTGATATACATATGTAGTGGAAACATTTGGGACTCGAAAAATATTATAAGCAAAGTAAAGGCTGCACATTTACATTGTTAGCAGGTCTAGGAAGTAGTTGTATATAATTTTGCTCCATTACGAGGAAAATCGAGGAAAATTTATCAGTCTACAAGTATACTCATGAGTTGATTTCATCGGCCGTGTAAAAAGTGGGGTTTGTATTTTTCATTTTGAGTAAAGTAACGATAGAGTAAGTACACACATGTCGAAAATTTCATGTAATTTTTATGGCCACAAAAATAAACACATGCAGTAAAAGTAGCGTAATGACAGTTCATGCACTGTATTAATGATAATTTTGTTCTTTTTGGCAAGTATTATTACACCATATTTTCGACACGATTGAAGTGCATCCACTTTTATGCGATATTAATTTTTTTTTGCATGAATACAAACCAATAAATCTGTAAAAACGTATCTAATAAAACGCTGTCAATTCAGTTTTCCCTGAATAAGGCCAACACCCATGACCAATCTTCGGGCAAATTAAATTAAAATCGTTTGATTCATTTGAGACTGAAGAAGCAGTTAACATCATTATTCATCCATTCCCAGTCGATATTATTATTATATAAGTTTTTGAATATCTTTGCAATCGGTCAACTGGTTCCGGAGATGTGCTTAGAATTTATGGATTTAGGGGACAATCGTACATATCAACAACTACTGAACCGAATAGGACACAACAACCACAAAATGAAAGGTACTAAGATCTTATAGAATCCTTTTGAATAATTTTGGAATAGGTCTACTGGTTCCAGAGATATAACCAGATCATGGGCCAGAGATATGATTGGTCCGTCCTAAAACGAATAAAACCCATCATGTGACACCTCCCATTAAATTAGAATTCATAATCCAGTTTAATGGAAGTAATTTGAAGTACCCAGGACCACATCTGGCCATGTTTTAGGAACCCCCGGAGGTACCTATTTTCTAATCTAATCTAATCTAATCTAATCTAACTAATACAAACGCAGCCAGTACGAGAAAGCATCCTGGAAAATGATTAGGTTAGATGAAGTCTAATCATTTTTCTTGTCTAATTGATGTTTACAGCATATCTGAGATATAAACATAATACGGCCAGACCTACTGCGCTGTATTTGCCGCAAAGATGATTCTTGGAAATGAATGGGAACATTTCTTGAATCTACAGGGGTGGAAGGATGCGTGGACATACCGTACCAAACACTCCAAGTTACTATGTGTAGTTGTGTGTAATGTGTACAATATTGAAGAATCATAAAATAATGGCCCCCGGAAGTACCTACTTTCGGTCTTAAAAATAAGCAAAAATACTGCAAGCGATACCTTACATCATGCCAGAATTCATCAGTCAAATCATTTCATATCAAGAGCCACATGTGAAAAGGGCATACAAGCTTTTTTTAAACTAACTTTTGTAGGCCCTTTTCTCACCGAAGGTCACCCACGCAAACCATCATCAGGAAGGGGAAATTTTCCCTAATCGGTGATGTTAAGGGGAAGCATAACGCTTCGAAAAAAAAAATGAGTTTCGATTTTTCTAAAATTTTTGGGAAAAGATATAAAAAAACTAAAAACATCACTTCTTTTGTATTTTTTAAAGAAAATTCACGTGCAAAAATATTTTTTGTAATTTATCATGGCATAAAGTTGGACTCAAAAAACCACAAAACATAAACTTTTCGGTTTTGCTGAGAATCCAATATTTTTTCATGATGAGATAGAAAAACTTTTTCTACATGTAAATTTTTTAATGAATCTAAGGAAGATACTGATTTTCTTGGATTTTTGATAATTTTTTCCAATGTTTTGAGAGAAATAAAAACGTGCCGTAAATATTTTTTTTTATTTTCGGGGTGGTAATCTTCTCCTTAATGGGCTGCGTAGGTGTCATATGAGTGGCGAGAAAAGGGCATAAGAAGGTTTGTTTACAAAAAGCTTGTATGAGCTTTTCACAGGTTGTTCTTGATATGAGCAGACTTTTGGTGGAATTATTATCAGTAAGAAGGGTCATATTTTACCATAGATAGTATTTCATTACAATCTGAGAGGGTGCGGCTAACAACTGGTTGAGTTGGTGTGAAATTCGTCCTTGGGGCACTTTCAAACCAAGATGACTGTTTAAGAGAGAAGGAGAGCTGGTGAATTTTTAATGGATCATTAGTACAAATTGTCCACCCAAGAGAATGAGGGGTTCATAAACTTCTCAATAAATAATCCACCCTTATACCCCGTTCACATTACAGCCTATATCACGTAATATAGGCTGTCTTGCAATGAACACTCATACAAAGGACTTCCAGTGAAAACTAGATGTATGAGTGCTCATTGCAAGACAGCGTATATCACGTGATATACGCTGTAATGTGAACGGGATATTACCTACATATGCAATTTAGGTATTTCAATGCCATTCATACAATTTTTAGACTAATTGTATCAATGGCATTGAAACATTGGTTTCCACCTTTTTTTTTTGAAACAGTCGAAAAGAATCTTAAGGTAAATTTAAAGAAATCATAAAAGCCCTAGTAGCACACTTGTCACAAACCGGTTGAGGTAGCTTCTATAGAGCTCACTTGGCTACTTGAGAAGCAGTGCTGCGTGATTGGAGGATTTTCTATACTGATGAATTATTATTCATTGATTTTTTTCCTCTGTTCGGGACATAACAGCACTGCGACCAGTAATTTGATCTATTGTAGTATATCCCGAGTCCTTAGTTTAGTGCATGTCGTATTACTCCATCACTATTGAGGAATGATGAAGTATTCGGTTTTGATACAGCTGTCATTCTTGCCTTCATCGCAAGGATTCCATTCTAATTGAAAGGTCCCGCTATTTATACCCTCCGGAGTTTCGGAACACCCTCCAAAGGCGCGCCCCTTTGTCAGTCAAAATTGGATTTCTTAGCAACAAAAATAAGCAATGGCACCGATATTGACATGCATCAGAACCCTAGTCTTAACCTGGGAGGGAGAAGCAAATACTACACACAAAATCTAATAAATCAATCACAATATTGCGCAAGAAAATTCTTGGCAAATAAAAAATATCAAGTGATTTGTTCCCATAATGAGGGGTTTCGGTTTTTCGTGTCTCTGTTGTTTACGTGTTACCGTCGGATGACTTAATGCTTGTGAAAAGTTGGATTTGAAAAATCACTTGTAGAGACTCGTAGTGGATCAGCCAAGATGAAGTGTCAGGTGAAATACTGCGGCCGGAACAGCAGGAATTATCCTGGATTGGGTTTTTTGCGCTTTTCTGCTGATTATATCACAAGATCCCAATGGATTAAGTTCTGTCGAATGGATTCCGGAACCGGCGAAATTAAACCAAGTACGCGAGTCTGTAGCGTAAGTGTTGACGGTACAAGTGTTTTGCATTTTATCAATGTTGCTATGATCTTTTTTAATTATATGCAGGCTCATTTCTTAGAGGACTGCTTCCGCGTCGATAAAAATGGGAAGAAAACGAAAAAAAAAGATGCTGTTCCGTCGATTGAAGCTTTCTTGCTACCTCCTGAAGACGAACCGGAACTGCGATTGACGGCAGTTTAATGAATTGTTAAACCTTTAGAGGGGAGTCCTAATCGCTAGGACCCGAACCAAACCCGTACCCAATTCATAAAAATTTCAAGAACCCGAACCCGACCTGACCCCTGTAATTAATGGAATTAATTTAATTACGGCTACTTCCTGTGCCAGAGTTGAAGTTTTTGCGTGCCCCTCGTTGCTACCCGTACCCAAATATACCCCTTATCCGATCCGAACTCAAAAATGTTTTCTTCGTATACTCGTACCCGACACGAACCCGAAAATTTAGAATAACCGTACCTGAATATCTCTACAACCCCCTCCATTTTGAGAAAACTATCAAATTTACGATATAACATGCTTGATACACTACAATTTAGCTTAATTACATACCGATTCCTGAACTGAAGAAACGAAAATTTTGCAGTGCAAATTGTTTTCAAGCAAGATAATACTTTGTATTCGATATCAATACTTCCCATTGATTGATGTTTTGTACTGCTGGCTCCCACTGACAGTTTGTGACAGCTCATTTCTGGCTTCACTTGACATTCACATTTTCGGAGTCTGTTTCTCCCTTCCAGGTCTTAACCACTTCAAACTAGGAAACAACGAATAGAAGATTAGGAATCACGTAGGTGAAGACTAACTAACTCATTTTTTCCTTGTTTCAAGTTCATCATCGGTGGGCAAAGCCGAGTATTGGCAACAAGGCATACAAAGTAACAAGGACAAAGATGAGTTCCCTTGATTACTGAACAATCCTGTTCCCCTAGTTTGAAGCAGCCAGGACTAGGAATCGGTTGCAGATCTTCCCACGTTACGGGGCTTATTAATTGATTAGTTCAATTCCAATGATTATGATTAAAGAATAATGTTTAAATTACGTGAGGTATGTGATTAAGATTAATGATTAATGATCTATCTCTAAACATCCTGATTAGGTATTATGATTAATCATATATTTTAATCATTTATCATTATTCATGATAGATTTTATGTACTAACGTTTTGTGAAAAAATAATGTAAGAAGCAGAAGTACAAGGGAAGATCATATCCATGCCCCTGATATTGAACGGCGAGTTCCTGAGTGATCCGGATTTGACAAATTGGG